CTTACATTCAAGCCTCACAAGTCAAGAAGCCTCGTTTTGAAGAAAGGTACAATGTCACCCACTAAGTTCACTGTGCAAGGAAGAGGAATACCAACCATCTCAGAGCAGCCCATCAAGGCTTTGGGAAAATATTTTGATGCCAGTTTGGGAGACAGAAAGATCACCAAAGAGTTAGTTTCTCAACTCAGAACATGGCTGGAAGCGATCGACAGAACAACACTGCCTGGAAAGATCAAGGTTTGGTGTTTTCAGTACGGAGTCCTTCCCAGACTGAGCTGGCCATTCTCCCTCTATGACATACCACTCACTGTAGTAGAGATGATGGAGAGGATGGTAAACAAAAAGCTGAGGAAATGGCTAGGAGTCTCCAAGTCCTTCAGTGACGTCAACTTGTACAGCTCATCCTCACCAGCAGCACTCCCTGTAGACTCAGTGGTGGAAGAGTTCAAGGTAGCCAAAGTAAGAACAATAATGTTGCTACGTGACTCAAAGGACAAAGTCGCCAATAGAACAGAAGCCAAAACTCCAAAGAACAGGAAGTGGTCCCCACAGGATACCATCACCAAAGCAGAGACTCGCCTGCACCAGAGCGACATCATTGGTACTGTGGCTCAAGGCAGAAAGGGACTCGGGAGTTATGGACGCATACCTTGGTCGAAGGCCAACTCAAAAGAAAGAAGGAAGATGGTTACCTCAGAAGTGAGACAGATGGAGGAGGAAAGTAGAAGAGTGAAGGCTGTGACCATGAGCAATCAAGGAGCATGGATGAAGTGGGAAGGAGTAGAGAGTCGGAAACTCACAGGAAGTGATCTCCTGCAGACGAGTAACGTACCTGTGGCTTTCTTCTTGAAAGCATTTAGTGACACCTTGCCGACAGGTACAAATCTAGCACTCTGGAAATTGAGTGATGACCCTACATGCCAGCTGTGCCAAGATCGAGCAGCCTCCCTGCGTCATGTCCTCAGCTCTTGCAAAGTTGCCCTAGCAGAACATCGCTACACATGGCGGCATGATCAGGTTTTGAAAGAGATTGCTAGACAGCTTGATCCCTTGATCTCTGATCCCTCCCTGACCAGTCCACCCTCACAACCACTAACCATCGGATTTGTGAAAGCAGGACAAGCAACTGCAAAACCAACAGTTAATCAACCATCCAGAGGCATTTTACATTCAGCATCTGATTGGGTTATGAAGGTTGATGTTGGTAAGCAGCTTGTTTTCCCCCAGCATGTAGTCAGTACCACTCTGAGGCCAGACATCATCATCACCTCAGAAACAACGCAGACCATCATTCTTGTTGAGTTAACTGTACCCTGGGAGGAGCGGGTAGAAGAATCCCACGAACTAAAGAAGTTGAAATACGAGGACATAGTAACTAATGCCAAGCGAAGAGGATGGCAGCCACACTGTTTCCCTGTAGAAGTAGGCTGCAGAGGTTTTCCAGCCAAGTCTATGGACTGGATGTTGAAGTCGCTTGGTTTACCATCTCGCAAGCGCAAGACAGCAATGATTACCCTAGGAAAGGAAGCTGAACGTTGCTCTCGTTGGCTGTGGTTGAGAAGAAATGCAAATTGGTTGCCCCAGTAATCCCTTGTCATCTTGCCTCATCTCCACCATAATCAAGACACACCCTGTATCCAATAAGTCCCCCATCTTAATAGCTAGCAAATCTTTAACCCCTTCTTCAAGCTTGAGCGGTGATGTGAAAAGGTGAGCGTTGGTCGACCATAAAGCGCTTTTTAAACCTACCATAGACCGTCGCAAGTCGGTTTTAAGCATTTATCGCTCATTCCCCTAGTTGAGATGTCTGCTCTGCTGGAAGTTGGAGGCAGCTGAGGAAACCTCTACATTTCCACAGCTAATGTGTATGGTGCAACAGCATGTAGTCCATCTAAGCATGTTTATCATAATATAATGCCTTTGCAATTCAACATAATTCTCCAGAAAAATATCATTTAACAAACGTAGAAAGATGACGTTTTTTGTTTTTTATGTCTGTATCCCCAATCGATCAAGGTTAATATTTGTGTATCACTATGGAAGGGGTTGATGCGTCTCGATTCATAAAAAGCTGAAAAGAAAGCAATTAAACTGGTATTTTAATAGCGAACCGACTTATATATATGAGTTGATGTATAAATTGACAGTGAACTCACGTTGGCCTTGAATGACGTTTGCTGCGTAAATCGTAGCTGCACTAACATCATGTTTTCTTGAGAGCAATAATTACTACGGAATAAGGATAAGTCAACTAATTGCTCCACGATTTGGTTCAAGTTGAAACATTAGCCATTCAAGGAGCAACCATTTTATTTTTTACCAATATTTACATATGCCATATCTTACAATCTCCTATATCTACATAATTTCAAATATGTTTTTGGTTTTGAAATTGATCCGTCTTCCATTAACTTTAAGACGTCAAAAAGGACAAAGGATAAAAACATGCAATTCCAAAGTACCATTACAAATACGCTAGATAGTGTAAATTAAGCCAAATGTTGTTTTGCATTCAGGGAGCTATCATATTTATTTTTTGCATAGTAAAACTAAATAAATAATTAAATGAAAAAAAATATATATATCATCCCTTACATCCTCCATTCATATATTTTCCCTTTTGAAAGTTATCTGTACAGGTGAACCGAGTAATCCGATTTTATTGTCTATTTACTCTTTACAAGGCAGGATGCAACGAGAATGTGAACTTATTTGCACAAAATAAAATTTAAAAAACCTATATTTTTGCAAAAGTGATACACTCCCCTTCATAAGTTTGGCAACCTTAGCTCCCCCATTTAACTACGTGTTAAAACCTCTTTACGTTTGAATTTTTATTTACTTAACATGCGATGAAATAACGTATAATATTGATGGAAACGTAACTTTACTTTATTTCCAATACCTCCAAATTTTCCCAATTTTTTGAGAATATTTTGAGGTATTGGAAATAAAGTCAAAATACGTTTCCATCAATAGCATTTTCATTTCACACGTAGTTAAATGGGGGGGGGGGGGGCTAAGGTTGCCAAACTTATGAAAGGGAGTGTGATTTCGGGGTAAACTGATCTTTTATTTTATTTACGACATCATTTGTTTGAATTTCCTAAAAAATGACAACATGAGCTGTCGGAACAAATAAAGCACTGCTCAGTATCAAGCGAAGGTAACGGCCGTAACCTTCGCATCTAAGATGGCGGATGGTAATTATCGATTTCGATATCTTTAGTTTTCATCGAATTCAACTACTTTATAGTTTAGGTGATGCTTTGATATTTGAACCAGAGCAGGCTTATATGACATGATAACTTTGGAGTATGATAATTTGTTCATATATCATGCGTTGGCGCCACAGTTCAACGATATCTTCCACCACACCACCACAGGGAAGGTAACTGGAAATGTATGATACGTTAACGGTCATGTAAGTTTTCAATACGCGTTAACTGGACATCTTAGCTCTCCATTATAGACTCTCATAACGTTACTGCATCACCGCATATCAGTTATCATATGTAAAACCCAAATCCCAGTTACCTTCCCTTACTTTAACGCGGTGGAGGATATCGCTGAACGGTGGTGCCTACGCATAGTATATGAGCACTCATGTCACGAGTGGTAATTTGTGCTGAAAATAAATTTTATTAGTACTATTTTATCACTCATATGAGTACTCATTGTGTACTTCAGAGTTTTCATGTCACATGTGCCTGATATACTAAAATAGATAGATATAATAAATATCAAAGCATTACGTCAACTATAAAGTAGTTGGATAGACCAGCAAAGACTTTCCCACAACACCAGTAGGGGCAATGCAAGACCAAGATCATTAAGTTTGTCAAAGAAGGCAGCAAGGCCCATCAGAAGCCATCTCTGCCTGTACTCCAGCCTAACATTCTTACCAAGGCAACAGACTGGACTTTAAGAACCGACCTCTTCCAAAAACTTGTCTTCCCACAGGATATAGTAGTCACCAAGCTCCGTCCCGACATGCTGCTGATATCTCAGCTCAGCAGGAGCATCATCATCATCGAGCTCACAGTACCCTGGGAAGACTGACTGGAAGTATCCCATCAGCTTAAGAAAGCCAAATACCAAGATCTGGTAGACGAGGCCATAACAAGGGGGTGGCATGTAGTGCAGTGCCCAATAGAAGTGGGATGTAGGGGGTTCCCAGCCTCCTCGCTGCGCCACCATCTATCTCAGCTAGGACTAACACCATCCAAGCTGAAGTCGGCAGTTAAGGCAGTAGGTGCTGTGGCAGAGTCCAGCTCACGGTGGCTCTGGCTCAAGGGGAATGACAAGTGGTGTCATACAGCGAGCGATGTTTAAGACCATACCATCGCTGCCCCACTCAGATTATGCATACAGGCTAAGGGGCGAAATGTGACGATCTGAGACGCCTGCTGATGACGCAGTAAAAGACACTCACTTATTTTTCCTACGAAGCCATCCACCAGTAGTAGTTTCTTTTTCCGTTTGTAGCGATGCATCGTTGATGTTTATTTGAAAAAAAGTTCAATCCGATGAGAACTAAAAATATCGAAATCGACACTTGCTGTCTGCCATCTTTGATGCGAAGGTAACCGCTGGTACCTTCGCTTGATAGTGATCAAGGGCACATTTTACATATGTCACTAGTTTCACTTTACTACACAAATTGAATGAAATAAAAAGTGCCAGCAAAAAACGATCAATTATTTCATCTGCCCACATACAGTATATAATCTGATAATAATGCATTTTAATATTATAAAGTCAACGGTATAAAACAAAAGCATTGATAATACTTTAATAAAGTAACAGTTATAGGCAAAAATATAAAAAGAGATATGATTTGTATTAGAAAACTAAGGAGAACGGTTTCACGATGGCTCGCCATATTCGGCGGTATATGTATCTTATACATGTTTCTGCTAGTGCTGGATATGCCAACTCTTACATATTTTGACATATACCAACTAAAAGTGGCCGTTTCCCAAAAGACCGTGGATTCTATGGATATTCTTCCAACGCATGACTTGCCTACTAAGACGAGGGAGTCAACACCCACAAATCTGAAACAAAATGAAACTGATCGCCTGAAGTATGTGAAGCAAAATGAATATGTACATAATCATCTTAATAGTGAGCAACAAAAGGAATTCAATCATCACTTTTCCGTGAAACAAAATAAATATAATCAGAGCTATGTGAAATATAACAAGAACCATCGTCTCGTTGAAACACTAGCATCAACCAAGATAGTTGATAATAGTGAAGTTTCTTTGACAAGTGGATGGTGGATCGTCAAGGAGGAGAATTGGAAGAACTATACGGACTGCTCAAATGGGAGCTGTAAGATTGCCTTCGGAGTTCAATGTTCATCTTATCTTCACGCTTTGTACCAGTACATCCCAATTCGACAAAAAGCACCAATAAGAGGAATATATTTCTCAGTGAGTAGTTTTAACAAGTTACTAGTGAAACAGCCTAACCCTTTTGGCCATCAGTATGGCGCAATGGCTTTATTTAAATTCAGCGATGGGTCAAATTATACAATCCAGTTGAAGTTTTCACCACTGGAAGGTCATCAACAGAAGAATGATGTTTACATGCTGCCTAAAGAGAGAGCTCCTCTTTCAAGCATATCTCTGAGTCTTGCATGTGCTGGATTTAAAGGTCGTGTCTCATTCATGGATGTCAATGTATCACCAATTGTAGATGATGTCACAATTAAGAGTCATCCAACGCTTTATGATTTCATTGCAAAATGTCCAGACCAAGCCCCATTTCCGAACATTGCAAAATTTAGATTTACATGGTTAACATTGAACCGCCATATAATTATCAACGCAGATGACATAACCCTAGTTACACAAGTCTCTGCTGATAGACTTTATATGCTACATGATATCCTACCTTACTGGGATGGCCCAGTTTCCATAGCAATCTACATTCCTGCATCTGAATCTCCATCTGACAAACCGATATATGATGATGAGTATATAATTCATAAGCTAAAGAACCTCACACAGAGTTGTGAAATCACAATTATGTACGGAGAATACTATAAGGAAAAGTATCCAATTAACACACTGAGAAATCATGCCATACGTCATGTACAATCTAAGTATCTTTTTTTGTCAGATGCTGATTTTTTACCATCGGTTAATTTTCAAAGACAGGCAAAATCTGAGATTAATCGATTAAAATCTGTTGTAGATCATGATGACGATACTTCTATTAAAGATATAGATAAAACAGCATTTGTAGCCCCAGCCTTTGAGTATCTAAAGAACCCATTCAAATCAAACAACCTAGCCAAAACAAAAGCAGAGCTTGGTCAAGTATACAAAACAAAATCGTACATTAAAGTATTCAATGGTGCATGGTCCGACAACCACAAAGCAACTGACTATGGGAAATGGTTTAAAAGAAGTCACTCATACAAAGTTACAAAATATCAAATTAAATATGAACCTTATGTTGTATTAAGAAAACACAGCCGGCTTCCTTTGTATGATGAACGTTTTGTTGGGTACGGAATGAATAAAGTGAGTTATCTGATGGAGTTAAAAGCTGCTGGGTACACATTTCTTGTGCTCCCCAATTGCTGGGTTTCTCATATACCTCATGAGAAAACAAATAACAATCAGGAGTTCTCTTATGATGCAGTAGCTAGACTCAAAAATAGAGTATTAAGATATGAGTTTATGGCAGACTATACAAGAAAGTATGAGATTGGAGGGTGTTCTGAACATGAAAATGGAAAAGATTAGTGAAATGCCAAATAACCTCTTCTACGTCGTGTAACCATAATATCTCAGAATAGCTTTTTATATGGAGTTTATCCACTGGGAGATATGCATATCTGCCTGAGGGTTAACCTCATTTCCAAACCCACCACACATAACTGCTTTATCCTATACCCAGAAGAGTATTTTTCAATTATTCTTTTAATATTTTTTTTAATGACCATGGATGGTATCGCAACAGATTTCAGACATTGATATGTTGGATTTAGGTTTTTCTGATGATCTGAACAGATGCATATATTAGGCCAATGCATTAGGCTTAACTTCAGGACAAGCACTCATAGAGATGATAAAATAATTTGGAATTTGAGACAGGGAAGGTGCAAACACCCCACCAACACGTTTTTTCTGAAACATTGTCCTGATTTTCAGCCCTTTTTGCACCTTTTTTTCAATGTTTGTTGAATCAACTACGTTTTAATGTTTTTGCAAAGGAGATATGAAAACCTCAAATCAGGATACGGGATATATCTTACCGACTTATCAACCTAAAACTCTAATGGGCATAGGATAAATCATTTTGTTTTACGCATCTTAATAGTTTTTCTACGTTATATGTTATTCTCAATAGCTTTTCCATGTATGACTATAATAATATCTCAGAATGATATATTTACTTTATGCATATGCTATTTTCGCTAGCATCCTAAATCGCTTTTGGGTCGTCTATTCATGTCGAGTTTAACATCAAATATATCACTTTTTCTTTGACTTTTTCTTTTTCTTTCGCTAGCATTTTAAATCGGTTTTGGGTCGTTTCCATGTCGAGCTTAACATCTCAAATTCCAAATATATCACTTTTTCTTTGACATCGATCGGAATTAGTGAATTCAACATGTTCATGACACAATGAAAATGTGAGAAATACTATCCGATGTGAGGAGAAATTAAATGCAGCTAGTCAACGTAGAATATGAAAAATGACTAAAAAGTAAGTCATTATAACTTAGATCAGATGAACTGTTTTATATGTTTTCAACTGAGTTGTTACCATGTCCGTGTTACAGCTGGCTGTGTTATTCACTTTTACACGTTTAACTACTGTTTTCTGTGTATTTTTTCCTTTCCACAAGGCTTTTCAGTTGAATGTACATGTATATAAAATTGTAAATAAAACAGGATTTGACTTTTTTATGTCATCAACAAAAAGTCGTGACATATTAGTATTGCAGTGGCTATAGGTTTTTGGCATCGGCAATATTTGATCCTTATTGTTTGGATGACGGCATCTGTTACAAACTGTAATACTTTTGTAACCATTGCAATTGCGTGCAATTAATAGCAAAAATATCACACTTGGAACCGTGGCAGTTCTAGTCTCAAAAAATCACTACGCCAGGCACTTAGTTGGCGCTTCCTCTGTAAAATGGCTAAATTAAATTATGCCACAAAGAAATGCAAGAAACTTGATTGCTCGTATTGGACGTACGTATTAATTGATAAACCCATGTACATTGAATTGTTCCACTAAACGAAGTCCGACGGGCATATGGAGAAGCCGTCCTTCCTTACGTTCGTCTGTCTGTTCGTTCAATTGATCGTTTCGTTCGGCAGCCCGGCAAAAGAGAGTTTAAGCTTGCACTATTTTTCACAATGACTCAGTGCGCATACCTTTTAATGCGCTTCACAAGGAGGGTTGGCTCCCAGAATCGAGACTCGATATTATCCAACAATGAAAACGTCGAAATGTCGTTATTTTCTGCAACTGAAACAGACTTTAAATTCAAAATAAACAGTTCAAAAGATTCGAACCAATCTCGATCATTTCTTGTGAGTTTTGGAATTTTTCGTTAGAAAATAAGACCAAAGTTATGTTGACGTGTACAAAATGGCGGCTGTTTGAATTCTAATTCTGTATCACGACATGCCCATATATGGGGCAGAATATCAAACTGTTGTAAGCGGATGCCTTGTGAAATTGGACCTCTGCTTAAGAAGGTTGCTCAATTCAAAATGGCTGTCATTTTTCGTATTATCTGAAGTAGTCTGAAAGAGATGACTGTTGAAACCTTTTTACAAAAATGGCAGCCGTTTGGAATTAAATTTTGTGCGCCACGTAAGGCTATAATGTAGAAGTTTCTTCTTGAGGAAAGCTCATTTTGAATGAGTGGTATCTGGAAGCCTTTCTTGAGCTGCGACACGCGGTACTAACTTCGACCGTTAATTTGAATTTTTGACCTACCAGATGCTTGAAAATCAAGGATTGCGAGTCTCATACTGCACCGTTTTTCTTCAAACCTATACCATTAAAAGCAAAACAAAATTGCCTTTCTGTCGGTGCATTACTCTATTGTAAAGAGTCCCTCGTTCTAGCAGCGTTTTGGTCCCCAGCTGTTAGAAGGCCTTCTTACAGCTGGGGACCAAAATGCCGCTGGAAGTAGGGACTCTGTACCATCAGAAAGAGATTTTTGTTATGCTTTGAATGGAACAAGTTTGAAGAAAAACGATGCAGTATGAGACTCGTAATCCTTGATTTTCAAACATCCGGTAGGTCAAAAATTCAAATTAACGGTTGAAGATAGGACCGCGTGTGCGAGGTAACAGTTGAAATCCAAGCAAAACACCCAGAGTTAATATAATGTAATGCAACCATAGTTTGAAAAGATCTTTAAGTAATGGCAAATTACTGCTTTAGGCAACCATTTGAAGGCATGAATCAGAATAACAAACACAATCAATTGTGATCTACACTAAAATTCCTACAACTAGCGTAAAATATAACCATGTTTTGCAGAGATTAGAAAATTATTGCGAAATCCCACATTAAGAGATCTCAAAATTTACGAAAACCGTTCTACATGTATAAAGGCGTAAAACGGGTTAAATCTGGATGTGTTCGGGGAAATATGTCTCAAGATAATTAGCTACTCCGTCCATAATCAGTCTTCAATACGTCCACCTCATTCGAGACTTTCGTTCAGGTCGCACCATGTCGGTGTACCCACGTACTGATATCCGACTGCTATGGCTTGCCATCTGGACCAATGTATCGTCATACTTTTTTAACGCCGTAAAATCTACTTTTAACGCCGTAAAACGATTTTATACGTCGTAAAGAATTACTTTTAACGCCGTTAAAAACGATTTTGTACGCCATCAAAACTGATTTTTTTACGCCGTTAAAAATTTTTTTTTTACGCCGTGAACTAATTTTTTGCGCCGTTAAAAATTTTTTTTACGCCGCATTTTTACAAAATAATTATGTACGGCGTTAAAAATCATTTTGAACGGCGTCAAAACTGATTTTTTAAAATGACTGCACGTCGTTAACGCGTCCTTAGTAGGGTCGAAGTACGGCAGTTAAGTTCGTAGTCGACTAGGTCATCTCGTTTGAAGTGCGTTGTCACACGATCTAATTACAGAGAACATGGTATGGCCCGTCGCCATCGAATTTTGAAATGATAATTTTAAATTCTAAATCACCTTCGCGTCGAAGCACGTCCATGAAGTTCGTAAATAGACCGTAGAAAGTAGGTACGTTCGCACTAGTTTGATGTGATGTAGCTATTTTTGCTAACTCGTTCGTAAGCAGTCTTACGCTTTATTCGGTCTAAACAACGTATCCAAGCAGTTCAGCGTCCTTAAACAATCTAAATCCGTTGACAACTTGTTCTACCTCTCTCGTTCTCGATACGTCCCAGGTAGGATTGAAGTACGACAGTTCTGTTCGTAGTACGTCTAGCTCGTCTAAGTACTGTAACGACCCTTGGGCACGTCCGTCGGGGAGCTGTAGTGTACCGAGCCAGATACTAGACTTGAAAGAGAGTGTTCTAATTTCAATGCCCCGTATATCTCTAAAGCGCCCGGTAGGTATTTTATTTTGGAATTACACCTGTCATTTCTAAAACGTCTTTCGTGCATTTTAACGATGTAGATATGGAGAATATCCAGCAGATGTGTACATCTACAAAAAATGTATTCTTTAAGCATCTTAGAGAAAACGTAACCGTAACTTTTGCCAGTGATGTGAATTTACTTTCAATTTTTGCAATAGAATTTGATGACCTATTGCATTTTTGGGGTCCCATCCATCATTTCTTGTATCTTTGCGGTGGTCCAAATATGACGCATTCGAAATACGTCTTATTTCGTTTAGGACAAATGGTAAATGCGCCTAACGATTTAAGTCGTTTTTTAGTGACGAGGGTTCTAGGTGTTTTGGAAAAGCGCTATTGTAAAACTTATTTTGCAAACCGGATTAAAATCTTAGGCGCCTTTCTAAAACCCATACGCTAGAGGCGCTTAAGTGCAGAACGTCGTTCAAAGTATTTGAAGACTATGTCAGTAAATTGACTTGTTGATAGATCATTGATTGGGGAAAGTAACTTCTTATTTCTGATCCTGACTAATATATGTATATGGAAATATATGTTATACTCTAGCAATTAAAATAAGGCAAAAATTCGTCTTTCTTTAGTGTATCATATCAACTAAATCTATTTTAACAAAAACACAGACCGAAATAGTCAAATAGAGCTTATGTCATCATGGATGAGCGGATTTGAGGAACACGGGTGCATTTTACTGTATCTCAAACGTTCTATCTGTCTATGGGATATAAAAAACAAACAATGTAATGTATATTACAAAAAATACCATTAGTTTAATACCAAACTATAAAATTAGCCAACAATTTACAAAACACGTAGAAATTACTGTACAAGTAAAGTGATGCATAATTTACCAGAACCAACCTGGGGCCTCCTGCCTAACCTAGGTCTCCATTTAAAGTAAAAAGAACTCTTTCAGCATAAGTAATTCCAGAATTCACAGTTACATAGGGCTCTTATGGGCTGATTGGAGTTGGACTCATCTTCTCATGAATATTTTAAACAGGAATTTGAATACCAACGATAGTGGTAAGAATTCAGTGTAAATGATTCAATACAATTTTGTCTTCAACAAGGATGGGGATTAAATAAGCATCATAAAAAAACAATGTCCAAAGTAGACATTAACATGCAAAATGTCACCACCTCCCATTTATTATATAGACACTGACTGCTGAACACCAAATGCTGAACGCCGATGTCGATGTCGAACACCATTCACTCAACGTTGGCAACTATAACAATATGTCACCACTTGTGGTGCTGACATAATTACTGTATAAGTGGTAATTTTGCCTAATCATTTAATTTTCCTATTTCCTAATTTTTGCCAGGTTCAGAAAATTAAATGTCGGAAATATTGTCTTTATAATGTTATCCAATGGGAGGTTTCTTGTCATTAGGAAAATTAAAATGAGGAAAATGATGAAATTTGACCATTCGGAAAATTAACCACTCGGATTAAATACCACTTATACAGTATACTGGATCATTACAATGTTCTAAAGCACAATCACTGGCCTTCTTGTGCAGAAATCAGTCCTCGAGCACAATCACTGTCCCTGAACACAATCACTGTCATCGAGCACAATCCACATATTCGAGCGCAATCGATGTTCTTGAGCAAGATCAATCAAAATCTTGCAGCACAATCAATTCTCACAAGCCTAATCCACATCCTTGAACACAATCAATGTCCTGAAGCACCATTATAAATCCTTGAGCACGATCAATGCTATGAATACGGCAAGTGTCATTACTATTCTTCACTATATACATTGTCTCATGTACTTAACATCTTCAATTATTGGATGGCAATATCTTCTTCAGTAACTATCAATACATTAGTCTCCTACTAGAGCCAGGATCATACTGAAAAGTTAAAATACTAAATTTAATTGAGTAATGCAAAAAAGTAAAACTTCATTACATGGCAATATGAAATTTTAGGCACTTTTCTCGAAGGTTTTAGAAATTGAAGATACCCTGCAATTGAAATGACGGGAAGAATTTGTAAATTGGATCAATTATTTAAAGGTCAAATGTACATTTAATAATAGAATCAATGTCTATACATGTGTATTAACTATTTTGGATATTGGATTTATTATCCCTCCTAAACCATGAGATTAACTATTTTGGATATTGGATTTATTATCCTCCCTCCTAAACCATGAGATTATTGATTATTGCTTTTGAATTATCTCTATTTTCAAAATAAATATACATTGGCCTAATGGTCTCTTTAGCAGATAGAGATATTTCCTCAGGATAACCCTTTTATTCAAAACCTTCCATATAATATATATAAACTTAAAAGATATTTTCCTAAGGATAAAACAAACGGTTCGAAACTTTTGGATCAACCCTTGTATATTCAAAACTTTCCATACAAAAGAAACATCATTACAACTTCTGATTATCATACTGAATGATTACAATCTTTTCCTGTTAAGTACTGTGAGTTAAGTAACAATGCTCCAAGTTTCTCAACCTTTCAAAATTTTCAAATGCATATAAACAACCTGGTCTGGACCGTAGCCAGGGGGGGGGGTTAGATTGGATCAAGCGTACCCCCCCCCCCCCCTTGGCCAAAAGATATTTCAAAATCATACAGTTTACCATTCTGAGCACTTTTTAAGTAAGTAATTTTGGACCAAAATTGTCACAAGTGAACCCCCCTGGAATTTTTCAAAAAGTGAACCCCCCTTTGGCAAATCCTGGCTACAGGCCTGCTGGTTGCAGTGAGTTTTACCTGTACAGATATATGAAGAAGAAGACAAGATGGAACCCTAACTTCACCATACTTTCTTTCATATAACTTTTCAATAGCTGTCGATTGTGTATTTCTGTGGGGTCATAAACACCAATACTTCCTGATGGCTTGCTTAGGTATCTATAATGATAATACAATGAATATTATTAAACATCATAATGATATCATACCAATCAAATGAAATAATACATCACATCGCATGCCCATAGCCAGGGGTCTCCATGGGTTCGAGCGAATCCCCCTTGGCCAAAAAATTTTTTCAAAATCATGCAGTTTCTCATCATTCTGAACACTTTTTAAGTGATTTTGGCCATTTTGGGATCCAAATTGTCAAAAGTGAACCCCCCAGGAATTTTTCAAAAAGTGAACCCCCTTGGCAAATCCTGGCTATGGGCCTACATCGTCAGGCTATTCTATTCCACCCATAAAAATACAGTATCTTCAAATGATCAACCTTTATAAGAATATATGTTTTTGATGGCACAGATCTTGGCAAAACACAACTTTTCACAATTTTTGTAATTTTTGCACAAGACTACCTCAAAGTCATAGTTTGATAGATAAAGCTACAGAATGTAAGCACAATAAATAATCCTATATGACTTTAAATTTGTTCAGTAAAAGTACATCATCGATTAGAATTACAGTAAAACTTGCCTCAGTGGAACACCTTTGATACCTCTAAACTGTTCCACTTGGGAGGTGTTCCACTTGTTCCACATTTAACATTAAGTCAGCTGGTCTTGGGACTCTGAAAATTGTTCCACTAAAAGAGGTGTTCAACTTCTAGAGGTGTTCCAATCTACAGGTTTCACTGTACAACAGTTCTAGATCAATGCAACTTTAACATACTTTAATGTTAATAGAATACTTACTTGTTAATTTGGAATACAGCTAAGGGAAGATTCAGCAAGAAGAGCACCCAATGTAGTGAGAGAAGCAGTAAAACTGTTATTAAACTATGGGCTACAATCTCTGGCAAAACCCACTGAAAAGGAAGAGAACACTTCAAATTTTACACCATTTTAAACATTAAACATTATTACATTTTTGATACTGTAGATTGGGTTAATTTGGCGCCCGCTTTAATTTGGCGAATTTGGCGAAATTGAAAAATTCGCCAATATAAATCTTCGCCAAAATTTAGAATGAATCCCCGGGAATTATCTAGGGTATTTCATCCAGTGTATTTAGGTCTCTCATAAATTGGCTCAGAACTGGTCAGTCAATCATTAATACTCAGGGAAAAACTAGAAAGGAATAGCGCGAATAGTAGCAGCATCGATTGAGGTGCAAAATGTAAAGGATGATCTCACAAAAATGTACAAACATGGTGAATATCGCCAGTGGTCCTCAAAAGAAAAATGAACATAGCCAAACATGCCCATTTACATGGTTATTCGTAAGTTAACATTGTATTAACATTTTTTGCATATCCGCCAAATTAAATAGCCGCCAATATGCCAAAAATGGCAAAATCGCCAAATTAAGTAGCGCCAAATTAACCCAATCTACAGTATTATTACTTCCATATACAGTAACATAGTTTCATGACAGATTGACTTTTTGATACTTTCATGTTTTGTATTTGGTACATCATTTCTTGTGACAGCAATGGCATTCAGCTTCAGTGGTGACATTTCTTCTCTACAGATTATTCATGCCTTGTTGACGCGGCAACTACTTACCATATTTAGTTTCTCGCAGCATGACCTGGCATTAAGGTAGTCACATTCCAAGTCAGAAAGTGTTATCACCTGAGCAGTAGTTAAGAAATACATAGATGCCAAATGGTTGAGGCAAAACTGACTACATGTAGATGCAGCGGCTGTGCCGTTGTCCTTCAGCAGGGAGTAATTCAGTAGGTTTCATAACATAGTCTATAAGCTAGATAGAGAGATAGCTAGAGGAAGGGTAATTTAATAGCCGTACTAGAACAGCCAGATTTTATTTTAAATGATTAAATTTTCCGTTGTGGGTCTAAGTGTACATTTGATTTCATGACTTATTTAATGAAAATGAGAATTTTGCATCCACCTGAGAAAAATTCCTGGGGGAATCACTGTAACATGTTAATGGCGTCAGATATTAATAGAAAAACAACAGTGATGTGTGACGTTACGATAATTGGTTTGTTTATAGTTGCTCGATAAGGTATATATATGACTGATGTCATAGTTACAATAGCACCATTTGAAGACTTGGCAGTTGCTTCAATCATTTGCCATATAAGCTAATAAAGGCAGGACTTCATGTGAATGGTTCCAGCCTGTTCCACAGCACGAATAGAACTGCCCACTTCGTGGGGGGGGGGGGGTTTCGTAAAAATCCCTGGGAACATTTTGCATCCTCACCATTGACAATTGCTGGCTACACCCATGATGAGTGCGCGCACAGGGTGTGCGCATCAGAAGAATGGCATTGTAAGTATGCAAAGGACCCCCCCCCCCTCCCAGATACATTTACTGGCAGTGGCATGAATATTACTGTTGCTGTACATCAGATTGAGAGGGCATAAAGGCAACAGAAGAGTTCCGTGGCTAATGTTCCCTTGCCTTAGGTCTTTGCCGGCAAGTTTTGAATTTTTTTCAAAAAGGAAAAAATAAAATTTTACCATAAAACATATGATTTACCAGAGTTGTATTGTTGAAGCGCGAATATTCTTTGTTCAAATGATTACGATATTTCCGAAATAAAGGATACGAAATAAACAGTAAGAAAGAGTAACGTAGTTCCATCCACCAGTCCGAAAATAAGCACAGGAGTGTCGAGTTCCATTTTGAAATTTTTGAAATTTCAAGGATACTTTCTAAATGTCAAACTGAAGTGAAACGAAATATTGATTCTATATTGACTTTATTAGGGTGACATCTATGAATAGAGACAAATTCATATGGGCTATATAAGTGGCTACTAATATCATGTTTATCAAAATAGCACTTTTTACATTCTGATACACATATCCAGGCCCGTAAGACACTTTTCTCCAAGGGGGGTGCGGTTTTTAGCTTACTAAAGAGAATGAAAAAATTGTCATTTTTTTGCCGCGTAAATCAAATCGCGTAAGACAGAGGGGGGGGTCAGTTACTCCCTATATTGGTTTGGAATTAACAAATGCATGGCAACTTCCAAACGTTCCAATTGTTTTGTGGGGGGTGTGAGGAGTGGTCCACTCCCCCTAGAAAATTTTACAGTTTTGAGATGCTATTTGGTGCTTTCTGGGCACTTACAAAGTGTAAGTTTCTAAGTAGTACGCCACCACCACAAGAATAAGAGTTGAGTGAATAAAAAACCGAGCATTCAGGGAGGTCTGGGGGTTCTCCCCCAGGAAAATTTTGAAATTTGGTTGTATTTGGAGCGAATTTGCAACCATCTGGTACGCCTGTGCGTAAATCAATAAGAAAAATGTGAAATTTTTCAAATTCTTTTGGGGGTGTCAAAGAGGATGAGAGGGTGAAGTGGGGTGGGGTGCCAGTAGGGGAGCAATGGGTTGTCCCCCAGAAACATTGACCATATCAAGGTGCTATTTGATGATGTCTGGGCACTTAAAAAATGTCTGAGACAATACATGAAATTCAGAATATTTTCTTTTGTTTTGTGGGGGATGTGAGGGGTAGCTAACTCTCCTAGAAAATTTTACAATTTAAAGATGATATTTGGTGCTTCTGGGCACTTTTAAAGTGTATTAGTCAATAAAAACATTGAAAAACAATCACAATTTTTTCAAATTTGGGGGTTGTCAAAGGGGGGGGGAGGGGTGCCAGAGGGGAGGTGGCGCTCGGGTGCCAGAGGGGGAGCGAGTGTTTGTCCCCCATATCAAAATTTACAATATCAAGGTGGTATTCGATGAAGTTTGGGCACTTTAAAAGTGTCTGTGCCTAAAAGTGCCTATTTCCCAAGAAAATTTTACAATTTTAAGATGCTATTTGGTGCTTTCTGGGCACTTTCAGAGGGTATGAGTCAATAAAAAAAATCTCAATTTTTTTTTTTGGGGGGGGGGGTGTTAAGGGAGGGGGGCTGCCAGAGGGGGAGGTGGAGTGGGGATGCCAGAGGGCGAGTAAGTGTTAGTCTTCCAGAATCATTAACTTTATCAAGGAGCTATTTGATGATGTCTGGGCAATTTAAAAGTGTCTGAGACAATACATAAGACAAATTCAGAACTTTTCCATTGTTTTGTTTGGGGTGTGAGGGGTGGCCCACTCCCCCTAGAAAATTTTACAATTTTACGACGCTATTTGGTGCTTTCTGGGCACTTTCAAAGTGTATGAGTCAATTAAAGAATTTGAGAAAATCACCATTTTTTTGGGGGGGGGGGTCAAGGAGGGGGGGGGGGGTTATGCAAGTGCAAGATGCAAGAGGGGGAGTAAGTCCCCCAGAAACACTAACTATTTCAAGGAGCTATTTGATGATATCTGGGCACTTTAAAAGTGTCTGAGACAAAACTCTAAAATAAATTTAGAACTTTTCCATTGTTTTGTGGGGGGTGTGACAGGTGGTTAATACCCCTAGAAAATTTTAGAATTTTACGACGCTATTTGGTGCTTTCTGGGCACTTTCAAAGTGTATGAGTCAATTAAAGAATTTGAGAAAATCACAATTTTTTTTTTGGGGGGGGGTCAAGGGGGGGTGCCAGAGGGGGGGGGGTTATGCAAGTGCAAGATGCAAGAGGGGGAGTAAGTCCCCCAGAAACACTAACTATTTCAAAGAGCTATTTGATGATATCTGGGCACTTTAAAAGTGTCTGAGACAAAACTCTAAAATAAATTTAGAACTTTTCCATTGATTTGTGGGGGGTGTGACGGGTGGTTAATACCCCTAGAAAATTTTATAATTTTAAGATGCTATTTGGTGCTTTCTGGGTACTTTCAAAGTGTATGAGTCAATGAAAAAAAAATTACAAAAAAAAATATTTTTCAAAAAAAAAATTTTTTCAAATTTTTTTTTCAAATTTTTTTTTGGGGGTGACAAAGGGGGGTGCGGTCGCACCCATCGCACCCCCCCATCTGACGGCCCTGATATCGCATCTAAAAACCTGTCTGCGTTTAGTTGCAAGAAGAAGGCCATGGTATTCCATGATGCACTTTTTACGTCACATAATTTACCACTTACAGAAATCTATTAATCTGTGCAAATGAAGGATCCCTATCTTTTACTTGTACTTATTCACGCCTAACCATCGACAACGTAGAGTGACAAAATACACCGTCGTACACTTTAGATGTACGATGTCACTATTCTAACTGACATGAAGCAAAAACTATGATGTAGGTGTGATGTAGGTTTTAAAAATTAATAATAGATAACGGATTTCATGTCTTGCGTATTCGCTTTGGAAGATTGTTAGCTTTCTGAGTACGTTAAAAACATTTTCGAGCAGTATGACTCGATTTTTTTCGTAGTAAATCTACCCACCAGCAATGGTCCGTTGGTAAATGTTGTTTTTTTCACATTTCCTTTGATCATTTTTTGCCTGTAGTCTCACCTTAGAGTGTCCCTAAGTTACACAATTAAGGTCGGTTGAAGATTTATTAATATATCCACGTTTTGGCTAAAATAATAAATGTACGTTGTCATCTCGATATAAGTTATCCCATTGAACTTACATATCTGAATTCACAGTTAACCCTAATGTAGACAACCCAATCACAGTTTTACTTCAACTTGATTGAACTATTGAACCTCCGCAGTAGTCCAGATATAGCATAAACGGGATTTTAACAAGGCACAGACGTGAACAATATCGTACCTAAAACACAGCATTGTGGTCTTGTTGACCAAGAAAGCAAGATGGCCGCAGAAAAGTTAATCAGCTCTAGAACTTATCACTGTGTAACATATGTAAAAAAATTGAACGGTTTGGCTGGAAACCTGTAGACAAGCCTCGATAGACAAGATTTTAGGACGGAAAATCTAAAATGGCAGCCTTAACATTTACCCAGAATGCCCAAAAACTAATCAGTTCTTGACGTTGATATGTAGAAACATCCCTGAAAATTTCAGGTGATTCCCTCAAATGGTTTGGTTGGAAACCTGTAGACAAGTCTTGGAAGTGAAGATTTTAGGACGGAAAATCCAAAATGGCCACCTTAAAATTTACCCAGAATGCCCAAAAACCAATCAGTTCTTGACGTTGATATGTAGAAACATCCCTGAAAATTTCAGATGAATCCCTCAAATGGTTTGGCTGAAAATCTGTAGACAAGTCTTGAAAGTGAAGATTTTAGGACAGAAAATCCAAAATGGCCACCTTAAAATTTAACCAGAATGCCCAAAAACTAATCAGTTCTTGATGTAGAAACATCCCTGAAAATTTCAGATGAATCCCTCAAAAGGTTTTGCTGGAAACCTGTAGACAAGTCTTGAAAGTAAAGATTTTAGGACGGAAAATCCAAAATGGCCACCTTAAAATTTACCCAGAATGCCAAAAACTAATCAGTTCTTGACGTTGATATGTAGAAACATCCCTGAAAATTTCAGATGAATCCCTCAAATGGTTTGGCTGAAAACCTGTAGACAAGTCTTGAAAGTGAAGATTTTAGGACGGAAAATCCAAAATGGCCACCTTAAAATTTACCCAGAATGCCCAAAAACTAATCAGTTCTTGACTTTGATATGTAAAAATATCCCTGAAAATTTCAGATGAATCCCTCAAATGGTTTGGCTGAAAACCTGTAGACAAGTCTTGAAAGTGAAGATTTTAGGACGGAAAATCCAAAATGGCCACCTTAAAATTTACCCAGAATGCCCAAAAACTAATCAGTTCTTGACTTTGATATGCAAAAACATCCCTGGAAATTTCAGATGAATCCCTCAAATGGTTTGGCTGGAAACCTGTAGACAAGCTGAAAACTGAGACGCCGCCCGCCGCCCGCCGCCCGCCCGCCCGCCCGCCGCCCGTCAAGCTGACTACAATATCGTACCTCTTGTTAGGTACGATAAAAAGTCATCTTCGACTAGCAAGTATATATCTCTCTATTAATAGTTCTCTCTATCAACTTCTTAAAATTATTAAAATTCATAAAAGTGTATCTTTTTAGTTAAAATACAGACGCAAAATGATCAAGAGGTTGGAGGCTAACACCCCATGATCATATATTAATCACCACACCAACACTTTTATAAAATAAAATAACATTCAACAAGATTTAAAAATCATATTTACCTTATCTTTAGAACATCTGTTTAGGGATAATTGTACATGTTCGTTGAACATAACTTGTTACTCATTAAACCTGGATTTTGAAATAAAATCATTGCATTGTACATCTCGTGGATTTCAATTACACTGACACGTACAGTGGAGTAGATAACGTACACTTCTGATTTTATAAAATTAGTATTCATCAAATCTTCACTTATCCTAAATTATGTAGTTTAGAGAAACATATTCTCATCAAAATAATCGACACTCTTAGGCGACAGGGGAAAGCTAAATGTTTTCCAAAGCGAATACACACGACATTAAACATGAAATCTTTCAAGTATTCCTAAGGTTACATTTTAAAACCTACATCCTACATCATTGTTATACTTCAAATCAGTTAATAGTGACACCGTATATCTAAAGTGTACGACGGTATATTTTATCACTGTACGTTGTCGACGGTTATTAGGCGTGTTATTTAAATTACAAATGTACGGAGGGAAAATTGATGTTCATAGTTTTCATAGACATTTGAGGGATCCTGCTAGTCCATGCTGTAGCAGAGAGCCAGAAAATCTGCAAAGTGTATTATTCTATGGTAAATTGATCAAACTTTAACCTTCAGCCACTCTTATTTTTTCCACCAGGATAATGCACCGGCCCCGGGTCACACTGCTAATATTGTGCAGGAAACCATTCCAAATAACTGGCAAGATGGCAAAGTTGCCCCCTCCAGATAAGACAATCCTCCATTTTGCTGTTTTCAAGAGGATGAATGATCAACTTTCGACTGCGTTCCCAATGGCCTCACTTATGA